CTTTAAGACTATCCGGATTTTATTTTCATTTTTTTCCCTGAACTCTTCCTCCTTTTTTTCCTTAAAAAACATGAAAGACCCTCTCCAAATACAGAGCCTTTGTTGTTGCTTTGTGGTACTTTGGTACATTGCTGTTTATTCCTTAATCTAGCAGCATCCTTACTTAAATGTGTAGTATCCTACATAGTTGCAACAACAACAAAAAATCACTAGCTTGGGCTTTAACTGGGCGCTTTTATCATCCAGAAGGTTATTATGAACCTGTTAGATAAGTGTAAAGCAACCAAAAGAGCTGTCTCAAAGACTTTGTACCCAGAGTTTATCCAGCTCTTAATTGTGACACTCTGTACAGGCTTGCTTATCCCATGTCCCAGCTCCTAACCTATGAACACAGCATATTAGAAGAAATTGGGGAGGCCATTAGAGGCAGGCATATGGATAGTGTGGGAGGAGACAGAACAAACTTACTTAGCAGATATAAAAAAATTTTTAAAAACCAACAGCAATCTGAGGCATACAACATACCTCGGAGCTGAGGGAATCACTTTATAATAAAAGTAATGACACATATTTGTTATAGCCCTTTACATTTGATGAAGTGTTTTACATGTGTCAGAGCTCACTGGATATTTGTAATAACACACTATGAATATAACTTTACCTTTTCACCATGACAAAGTAAATTATACTGAGCATGCTGTTTTAAATGAAGGCAGGGAGGTATGCTCATATGCCTTAAATACTTGCATCAAAAATAATTACAAGTTTTTAATTTTGGCACTTAAAGATATGCATTAGTTATCCAAAAATTCATTATATGGTTTCCTTCATGACCAAAACAGGGTGTTACTAGTGAATTTTCACAATAGTCAGTGACTGCTAGTCATTAAATGGGGAAGATTGTCATCAGTTAGTTATCAGACTATTTCTCATTCTAACCCTAAGTTTAACATATACTTATGGATGCCAGTACCTAATCTGGCAAATTCGGGAAACACTAACTGGGCTTCTAAGAGATTCTCAGAGTGTTTTCCCTATATTGCACATTCTAGAAAATATGACTTTAACAAAGATATAATGTGATCTTGGTTCTAGACATGGAAGCAGGGAACATGTGATTTACCTCTTTTTCTTGACTGTTTTCCTAAAATTTGTGGTGTAGTCTCTTTTCAGGGATGTTAACAAGGAAAAAATAACAAAATACACATGTGCTTTGGGCCTCTGAGAAAAAAGACCAAAAATATACCTTTTTAAAAGACATGGTAAAATAGACGTCTCTTCTGCTTTACTCATTTCATTTTTGCAATTGAAAATAAGGAACTCCTAGGTGCAGTGGCTCACGCCTATAATCCTAGACTCTAGGAAGCCAAGGTGGATGGATTGCTTGAGCTCACAAGTTCAAGAACAGCCTGAGTAAGAGTGAGACCTCATCTCTAAAAAATATCCAGGGGTTATGGGGGGCACCTATAGTTCTAGCTACTTAGGAGGCTGAGACAAGTGAATAGCTTGAGCTGAGGAGTTTGAGATTGCCGTGAGCTAACAAGGCCTCGGTGCTCTACCCAAAGCAATAAAAAAAAAGAAAGAAAGAAAGAAAGAAAATAAGGAACTACTATATATTTTATGTCCCTAACTCACTTGGCATAGCATTGCCATAAATACACTGTTCTGTAGAAAACTTTTTTTTTTTTTTGAGACAGAGTCTCACTATGTCACCCTCTATAGAGCGCTGTACCATCACAGCTCACAGTAACCTCAAACTTTTGGGCTTAAGCAATTCTCTTGCCTCACCCTCCCAAGTAGCTGGGACTACAGGCGCCCAGCACAATGCCTGGCTATTTTTTTTGTTGTAATTGTCATTGTTGTTTGGCAGGCCCAGGCTGGGTTCAAATCTTCCAGCTCTGGCGTATGTGGCTAGCGCTATAGCTGCTGAGCTACAGGTACTGAGCTGCAGAAAACTTCTTAAAATAGGAGAACAATTTGTACTACATTTACCAACAATTATACTATAGTACCAATTAGGATACATTTACCAGTTATTATAAATAAAAATGACGATACAACTTAGAGTAAAAAACATTAGATTTTATACTCTAAGTGAAAGGGGACTTTGAAATGGTAAGATGTAAATCCTTCAAGTACTATAGCATTTCTGATCCCTTTAATTCCTTGATTAATATTCCCTGACAACTTCTTGATCATGACCACACCTTAAAGAAGATAGAAGTTCTTTTTAATTTGCTGGCCATTAATTTTTAATTCTCATTGGATGTCTCTCCTTTGTATTTCTTTTCTATTTTATAGCTGCTTATTCTGTTTGAGGTTTTTAAGTTAGGAATACACTATATAAGACCTGAGTTTATTGCATGGTCATGGAAATTGTCAATCTTGTAAATATTCTCTCATATGGTACAGAAGGTAAGCCAGTTCTATAACAAAAAAAACAAAACAAAACAAAAAAAAAAAACAACATTCCAGAAGACCTAAACAAATAAACCAGCAGGTCAGCTTACCATCCTTTACAAACTAAAGGGCAAAATGGTAAGGTAGTAAGTACACACAGGCTTTGGACTTAAAGCACACAAACCAACAATCCTGGATTTGAATCCCAGGGCTGCCACCTAGTACAACTCTGTGACTTAAGGCAAGTCACTTAATCTTTCTGACCCACCTTTATTACCTCCAAAGAAAACTGAGGCTCATTCTACCTACCTCTGAAGGTTTTTGTGAGATTCAGTAATAAAATATGTACATTATTTAACACATGATACGTACTCCATAGTGATTAAAGAATCACTGGCTGAATTTTGAGTTGGGCAATTTGTGGGCCCAGCATCTGACATGAAACTCTTTCCAAAGTTGATAATATATATGGAATCTTTTTTTGAATATGAATATGATCACTGTACTTGGTAACTTAGTGTTTTTTTTTTTTTTTGGAGACAGAGCCTCAAGCTGTCACCCTGGGTAGAATGTTGTGGCATCATAGCTCACAGCAACTTCCAACTCTTGGGCCCAAGCGATCCTTTTGCCTCAGTTTTTCTTTCTTTTTTTAAAAAGAGACAGAGTCTGATTTTGTCACCCTCAGTAGAGTGCCGTGGCATCACAGCAACCTCCAGCTCTTGGGCAATTCTTTTGCCTTAGCCTCCCAAGTAGCTGGGACTACAGGCACCTGCCAAAATGCCCAGCTATTATTGCCTCAGTTTTTCTATTTTAATAGAGATGGGGGGAGGTCTTGCTTTTGCTCACACTGGTCTTGAACTTGTAAGCTCAAGCAATCCACTGCCTTGGCCTCCCAGAGTGCTAGGATTATAGGCATGAGCCATCAAGCCCAGCCTTGGTAACTTATTTTTAATGATAACGTTATTTGAGTGCTTTTATCTCCAAAACCATTTTCTTTTAAATATATATATTTTTACATATATTTATGTATTCACTGTGCTTTGTGGTTACTTTTTCAATGACTAAAACATTTCTAAATTTTTAAACATCTGGGGTGAGATGATCTAATTTTAAAAATTTGTCCTACTGCCAACATTGTTCCAAGTGAGGTACAACTGTCTGTACATGTGTGTGAATGGTTGTTTGATAGGTCCTACAAAGAAATGCCTTGAATTTGGGTGGTTTAAACATTTCTGTAAAATTTAAAATACTTTTCTTCTTATATGGCTAGAATTCACAGCATCTATTCCCATGCTAATTTTTTAAACAATCTATTGGCTGGTTTAGGAGTATTCACAATAATATAACTTAAAGACAAAGTGTCCATAAATTGCTTTCAAACAGCCAGCATAATACAGTAGAAATTACCCTGAGCAAGGAATTACTGGTAGACTTGAATTCAAGCCCTGACTCTGCCACTAACTTTGCAATGACTTTAAACAAGTCAATTAACTTTCTTCATTTGTCAAATGATGCAATAAATTCCATTCCATACTATCCTCTATTGCTTTCATTTGCTTATTTTTTGAATAATTAAAACACCTACTGGGACCTATTGTCCCAGATAGGTGCTTAACTGCTGATTAAGGTTGTATTTTTCAAACTGTGATCAGAAACCACCAGAACAAAGATTACTTGCGATTCCAGTTAAAATACAGATTCCTGTTCTCTCCCTGCTGAATCCAAATTTCCTAAGGTGAGGCCAAGGTTTCTGCATTTTTCATAAACTCTTCAATGATTACAATGTACCCTAATGTTTAAGGACCACTGGCCTAAAGAGAATGGGACCTAAGAGCAAAAGGCTAATGCATAGCTTAATCATTCCAGGCTCTGGTTATCCCTTTTAAACACAATGCCATCCATGTGGAGGAGATTGGAAGAAAGCTATCATTCAACAAAGCAGTCAGCCTTGATACTTTCTACTAGCTGAGTTCCATAACAAAACATAAAAACAAGCCTTTATATCAGCACTTATTTGATGACTACCATAGTTAGGATAACAGTTTGAAGAGGACTGCAGTTCTGCCCTCACTAAGGATAAGAGCTGAGCTTGTGACACCTCGCTCAGAGAAGAATGATTTAACCTCCACCTCTTTACTCCTGCTTTCCCCTTCTTCCCCATACAGTTAACAACACATTATCCTGTGGGATTCTAATAATCTGGCAGAAAAAAACCTAAGAGACATTGTTCTCATCACTCAGTAGCCAGATACTGGTACCAATCTGATAAACAAATCCTTCTCGTGTAACAGAAATATCCAAAGCCCATTCCTTCCCCTCCTTTCCCTTCTAATGCTATTGATAGGAACAAAATATAAACTAAGGATACATGCTAGAGATTTTAAATTCATACAAGAAAAGTAAATTACAAGGAGAGGTGGTAGTATTTTTCTAGAATTTCACAATAAAATCTCTTTCATCATGAAAAAATTTGTATAGCTTTAACAAGAAACTTAGAAGACATTTTGTTGCAAGACCCTCTTAACAACTATGGGAATAATGCCACTATCTGTATTCAGTATAGAGAACTATAATAGCGACCTTAAAAACCAAGTGAACTGATAAGTGAAGATAAAATTTCTTCTCAATAACCAGTATGCCAACAACAAACTTCTGAGTTTTATTCAATTCTAGTATCATGAGTTTCTCCTACTCTAATCCAAACTCCTGTTAAATTATTTAATGTCCACAAAATAAAAAAAAAAAAAAGAGAGAGCAAACAAGCGTGTGTACACACACGAGAGAAAGGAACTTGACAAGAAGTACCGTGCAAAATAACCAGAAAAACTGGAATTCAGTGGCACAGATAGCAGGAGCAGAGGAATGCTGAAAAAGATGGTGCTGCATAGAGTCTAACTTGGAGATACCTGTATGATGCCGGATGACCAAGTACTCAGGTCGCAGGTGTGTTCATGGACCCAAAAGAACCAGGATTTGACCCAAACTTACAAGATACTCTGAAAAGAAAATACTTCACCTAAATTGAAGTAATTTATAAGTCAAATGCCAAAAGTATTCCTTATTTGATGTAAGTTGTGCCTAAAATTTTGGCTGATACAAAGAAACCCGTCCACTAAGGCACCCTGAGGCAATCTGGCAATGTGTTGGAGAGAACTTTGTTGTCAGTACTACATCATTATGGGAGTACAGAGAACGGATCACTCGCAGGGGACTGGCTTCATTGGGCAAACAGTCAACAAGTTCACTGCACTGTTTGTCAAATCCCAACAAGCGAATCCCATAGCCATGTGGGGAAGAAATCATCCGCCCATCAGGGCTGAAGCAAAGTTCTTTGATGTAACCCCTGCCTACATTGGCTTCTTCAATATAATGAGTCAGTCGTAGAGAACAGCGAGGTGAGACAGGTCGCACAGGAGCTCCTTCTTGGAATTCATAGACACAAGTCCACTAGAGAGAGAAAAGGGAGACAAACCAATGTTATAGAGGCCAAATAGTACTACAGATATTCTTTTAAAAAAGATCAACAAATTGCCAAAGCCACAGACTTGTTGCAAGAAATCAATCAGATAAATGCTATCTTCCCCCACAACTAACAAAACTTGTATGCCTTATACCTTATCTTCTTTTTGTTTTTGAGACAGAGTCCTATTATGTTGCCCTCTGTACAGTGTCGTAGCATCACAGCTCACAGCAACCTCAAACTCTTAGACTTAAGCAATTCTCATGCCTCAGCCTCTGGAATAGCTGGGACTACAGGCGCCTGCCACAAAGTCCGGATTTTTTTTTTTTTTTTGGTTGTAGCTGTCATTGTTGTTTAGCAGGCCCAGGCTGGGCTCAAACCCACTAGCTTCAGTATATGTGGCCAGTGCCCTACTCACTGAGCTACAGGCGCTGAGCCATCTTCTTATCTTCTTAAACTAAGATTAAGAATAACACTTTAAAGTGCTTTGTTCCCTGAAGCTGCCTGTACCTTTTGTAGTAGTACATTCTCTTCTTAGGGCAACAACAATCTTGATATTTTAGAACTTCCTAGGGTACATCCAAGTCCTTAAGATCTTACCTCTTCCCCTGCATAATTCAAAGGCTCTTTTCTCCTTCTTTTAGTTATGGCTCTAAGACCAGTGAGATTCTTAGAAGACTTTTGCTTTATAGAGTCATGAAAATCATAATGTCATTTAATACCTTTTCCCCTAGTAATCAGTTTAGACTCTTTCTTTCCCAGAGTTTCCCCAGATTTTTGTTTATCTGTTTGTTTTTGAGACTAAAGTCTTATTCTGTTACCCTAGCAAGAATGCTTCAACATTGTCATAGCTCACAGCAACCTCAATCTCTTAGGTTCAGATGTTCCTCTCGCCTCAGCCTCACAAGTAGCTGGGATGACAGGTTCCTCTCATAACACCTGCCTCGTTTTTCTATTATTTTTTAGTAGAGACAGGGTCTCCCTCTTGCTTAGAACCACTAGACCACTACAACTTCTGAGCTCAAGCGATCCACCTGCCTCAGTTTCCCAGTGTTAGTATTATAGATGTGAGCCACTGCACCTGGCCCTTCCCTAGTCTTTAAAAAGAGAAAATTTAGACCAAGTGTGATGGCTCATGTCTGTAATCCCAGCACTCTGGGAGGCTGAGGCAGATGGATAGCCTAAGCTCAGGAGTTTGAGAGCAGCAGAGCAAGAGAGACCTCGCCTTTAAAAATAGCTCGGCGTTGTGGTGGTCACCTGTAGCCCCAGCTACTTGGGAGGCTGAGGCAAAACAATCTCTCAAACCTAAGAGTTTGAGGTTGCTGTCACTCTACCGAGGGTGACAAAGTGAGACTCTGTCTCTAAATAAATAAATAAATAGAGAAAATTATAATACTCAATTGGCTTAACAAAACCTCACTTTTAGCTAGCTTAGCTGAAAACATCTCAGTCCCATGTTTACTATATAAGGTTTCCTCTGTGTTTGTTTTAGAGTCAGGGTTTTGCTTTATTACCCAGACTTGTTTCAAGCTCCAGGACTCAAGTCATCCTCTCAGCCTCCCAAATAGCTTAGACTACCACACCCATGAGCCAGGGGTTTTTTTTAGGGTTAGATGAAGGAGGAAAGAATTAAGAAGCTGGGCACAGTCTGAGCTAATGATAGCCTTGAAAGTACTTCTCAGCTTGCTATATTCCCAGGCAGGAGAGTAGGAAGAAGAGTTTACAAGGGATAAAGACACCACACGAAGCAAAAGAGGACAAAACAGGAGCACTGAGTAGAAGCAGGATTTCTGACAGGGTGCCCTCGAGGGTAGAGACTGTGTCTACTGATTGGTCTAAGGTTTGCACACATGGCAATGGCAATTTGTCCAATGAGCCCTGTTGAAGGTAGAGCACTGCTGCCTGTACCTCCTGATCATCAGTGTTGCTTGAGCACCGAAGAAGAGTGGCCCAGCCTTTTGGGTGCAGCTGTAAGGATGTGATGCAATTTCCACGGTCTCTCTCACCAGGAACTTCAGGGGTTAAGACTTCAAGACTATTCCGTGGTGAAACTCCTGAGACACAAATGAGGATGTGGGATTTATATTATCAAAGAACTAAGGCAGTTCATCAAAGTTTTGATTTCTGGCAGCCACTTCTCATGCTTTCAATCCCTAGTCTGCCCCTTATGCCAGGACACATAGAACGTGGTACCCAACCAATGTATGGTGTACACATGAGTTTGAAGGGTAGAATATGGGGAAAGGGTATGACTAGAACTAAAGAACCTAAGTTACTACAGCAGGTACCACTAATGATTTAAGACTATGGCACAAAAGCTGACTAGGGGTCCTTTTGATTTAGATCAGTATCTTAGAAAGCTCTTTATTTAAGTAAAAACCAAAGTTATGTGACATGGAAGGAAGTTAGAAAAGACAGCCATTCTCATCTTACTGGACTTGATGCTCTCTAGTCCAGAGAAACAGACACTTGTAGGCCATGAGGACTGCCTATAAGTAGATAAAAGCTTCAGATTTATGGCCTCTGAGGACAGTACTAGAAACAGCAAATAGGAGGTGAGGGAGGACACTTCACATACAAGCATCTTAAAACAAGAGATAGGAGACATTGCCCATCACTTATTTTCCTGCTGACTCTACAGTGCCCCATCATTTCCTTCTACCTAGCCTCCAATGAAAATGCTACAGTAAGTCACTGTTACTAGCAAGAGTATGTCATATACCTCATATATGTGAAGAACCAATTTCACACATGTTACAAGGAACCAGCTTAGAAATTTAGTATCTAGAGAAGTATTTCTTGTTTTCTTTCTTTCTTTTTTGGAGACAGTCTCAAGCTATTGCCCCTGGTAGAGTGCCGTGGTGTCACAGCTCACAGCAACCTCAAACTCTTGGGCTTAAGCAATTCTCTTGCCTCAACCTCCCAAGTAGCTGGGA